TCCGACAATAATGTATAAAACAGCAATATTAATGATTACGGCAATAATAATGATAATCATAATCATAATGAAAATAAAACAATAATGATGATGATAATAAATACAAAGTTCATCCACCTTCCCTCTTTCCAACTTGAGAAAGCCGCCCTCGACTCACCACATTGAGGGGCGTGAAGTAAAAGGGCGCCTTGGAGTTGTAGGTCGTGAGGAACTGGATCTGCATCGCCACCAGGTACGTGGAGTAGGTGACCCTGCTGATGGGCTGCCACGAGGGATGGGACAGGAAGCCGTCGACAGGACCTGGCAGCGAGAGGAACGGGGCGTTGGAAGGGGTGAAATGACGGGGTGTTGGAAGGGGGAACTGAAGGGGCTTTGGAAGGAGAGACCTGGGGGCCTTGGAGGGAGACCTGAGGGGACTTGATGGGGCGTCGACTGGACCTAGCGAGAGGAAGGACGTTTGGGGGAAACAGCTGGACCGCGAGACTGAATGATTTGGTCTCCGCAACTCGAGCGAAATCCCAAATGCTTGAGAACAGCTCATCCCTATTTCAATCTGAGGAGCTTGAACTTATATTCCCATTCCTTTAAATTTCGTTAAGTGATAAATGACGCAAAAATAAATGGCCAGGCCACATAGTCTTTAACTCCTAAGAACTAGCCCTCGGCCCCCAGCAGGTCCCGCACGCACCTCCGTAGCCGTAGTGGCAGGCGTAGATGATCCAGGCCAGCACGGCGCCCCAGGCGGGTCGGCTGAGCCCCGCATACGTCAGCTGCGTCATGATGTCGTACTGCGCCTTCGGGGGCACCACGTTGTAGCTCCACATCCCCAGCACCAGCAGGAGCGCCACGACCGTCGACGTCGTCCAGCCCGCCACCACCTGCCACTGGGGGTCAATCAGCGCGGGGTTAGTGGCCGCGCGGGGATAGGAGGGTCGTCTCTCTCTCTCTCTCTCTCTCTCTCTCTCTCTCTCTCTCTCTCTCTCTCTCTCTCTCTCTCTCTCTCTCTCTCTCTCTCTCTCTCTCCCTCTCCTCTCTCTCCCTCTCTCTCCCTCTCTCTCTCTCTCTCTTCTCTCTCTCTCTCTTTCTCTCTCTCTCCTCTTCTCTCTCTCTCTCTTTCTCTCTCTCTCTTTCCCCTCTCTCTCTCTCTCTCTCTCTCTCTCTCTCTCTCTCTCTCTCTCTCTCTCTCTCTCTCTCTCTCTCTCTCTCTCTCTCTCTCTCTCTCTCTCTCCTCTCTCTCTCCCTCCTCTCGTCTCTCCTCTCTCTCTCTCTCCCTCTCTCTCTCTCCCCTCTCTTCTCTCTCTCTCTCTCTCTCCTCTCTCTCTCTCTCCTCTCTCTCTCTCTCTTCTCCCTCCTCTCTCTCTCTCCTTCCCTCTCTCCTCGTCTCTCTCTCCTTTCTCCCTCTCTCTCTTCCTCTCCTTTCCTCTCTTTTCTTCTCCCTCTCTCCTCCCCCTCTCCTTTTTCATCCATCCTTCCCTTCTCCTTTTCCTCTCATCCATCTCTCCCTCCAACCCTTCTCCTTCTTACCTTCTTGAGCACGACCTCCCTCTGGCCTTGCTTGTGGAAGACGTAGCCGAGCCAGACGCCCACGAGCCAGGGACCCGCGCGGCACCAGGGGGTCACGTAGACTTTCTTGAAGAACTCGAAGCCGTTTCTGGAAAGGAGGAGGCAGCTGTCTTCTTCAAAGGGGAGGAGCTTTGCGGGACGAAAGTTGTATATAATGCACATGTAGGTGTGTGTGTGTGTGTATGTATATATTATATATATATATATATATATATATATATATATATATATATATTATATATATATATATATTATATATATATATATATATATATATATATATAATATATATATATACATATATATATATATATATATATTATATTATTATATATATAGTGTTGTGTGTGTGTGTGTGTGTGTGGTGGTGTGTGTGTTGTGTGTGTTGTGTGTGTGTGTGTGGTGTGTGTGTGTGTGTGTGTGTGTGTGTGTGTGTGTGTGTGTGTGGTGTGTGTGTGTGTGTGTGTGTCTATACACACACACACACATAAATATGTGTGTGTGTGATGTATGTGTGCATGTATAATACATATATATATATATATATAATATAATATATATATATATATTATATGTATATATAATACATATATATACATTATATATATATATATGTATGTATGTATGTTTGTATATATATATAAATGTATCTATTTATTTATTTATCTTTCTATTCATCTATATACAGGTCAAATAGATCAGTGTTTCCCAACCAGGTGTGCTCGCACCCCTTGAGGGTGTGAGATAGCATTCCAAGGGGTGCTATAAGGGTCCATCTTGATGACAAGCAATTAATCTATTAATCTATTTATCACTCATAAGCAAGAAACAGGAAGAAAAGAGCCATTGAATTGAAAATTCATTTATACAAACGTTTTAAAGTTCTTTGATTTTTACATGTAGGCATTTCAAGCAAGTGATTATTTGTGTCGGGTTTATTCAAATAAACTGAGACATGTTTTCTTGTCCATATGTTTGATTTTTGTTAACACATCAGAAAATGAAGAATAACATTTTCTTTTGTTGATCAAAATTAGTATAAATTTACCTCCTTCATCCTTAAATAAACTATAAATCTAAAATTTTCTTAGGGGTACGGGCGTAAAAAAAGGTTGACAACCACTGATATAGATAGATAAATAGATAGATAGATACGTGACTTTTCATTTTCATTTAAAAGTGTTTTATGCGAGCCATATCAAATGATCTGAAGAATTTCGCACCTACAGTTGCCAAAATCCAATGGAACTTTTACAATTCATATCGTGCAGATAACCCCGTTTTCTCCTCCAATGCAATCAACTTAAGTTTGCTCAATAAGGAGTTCAATATTAATCAAAGAAATATGTTTAGGCTTTCTAGTGTCTTAGAGTGTACTTCGTGGGCCATAGGATAGTTATATACATGCGTGTGTATGTGTGTGTGTGTGTGCGTGTGTGTGTTTGAGTTTGTGTGAGCATATGTGTGTGTGTGTGTGCTGTGGTGTGCATGTGCATGCGTGTGAGAATATGTGTTTTCGTGTAACCTATAACCCATTTTTTTACCCAAACCTGCCTCCAAACGCCACACTTACGTATCCCCCATCAGAATGTTCGGAGCGAGGTCATAAACATAGGTCACAGCAGCTGGGATGACGACTGAAGCCAAGGTCACTACATAGAGCCACACCAAGCCTGAAGATAAAGATTTTTATTTTGTCTTTACGGGTTTCAAAGTCTCTCTTCTTCTCTTCTCTCTCTCTATCTCTATTCATCCTCTATCTATCTCTGATCTCTCTCTCTATCCTATCTATCTATCTCTCTCTATCTCTCTCACTCTCTCACTCACTCTCACTCTCTCTCTCTCTCTCTCTCTCTCTCTCTCCTCTCCTCTTCTCTCTCTCACTTTCTCTCTCTCTCTCTCTTCTCTCTCTCTCTCTCTCTCTCTCTCTCTCTCTCTCTCTCTCTCTCTCTCTCTCTTCTCTCTCTCTCTCTCTCTCTCTCTCTCTCTCTCTCTCTCTCTCTCTCTCTCTCTCTCTTCTCTCTCTCTCTCTCTCTCTCTCTCTCTCTCTTTCTCCCACTCACTTCACTCACTCACCCACTCACTCACCCACTCACTCACTCACTCACCCACTCACTCACATCACTCACTCACTCACTCACTCACCTCACTCACTCACTCACTCACTCACTCTCTCTCTCTCTCTCTCTCTCTCTCTCTCTCTCTCTCTCTCTCTCTCTCTCTCTCTCTCTCTCACTCACTCACTCACTCATCTCACTCACTCACTCACTCACTCACTCACTCACTCACTCACTCACTCACTCACTCTCTCGCTCGCTCTCTCTCTCTCTCTCTCTCTCTCTCTCTCTCTCTCTCTCTCTCTCTTCTCTCTCTCTCTCTCTCTCTCTCTCTCTCTCTCTCTCTCTCTCTCTCTCTCTCTCTCTCTCTCTCTCTCTCTCTCTCTCTCTCCTCTCTCTCTCTCTCTCTCTCTCTCTCTCTCTCTCCTCTCTCTCTCTCTCTCTCTCTCTCTCTCTCTCTCTCTCTCTCTCTCTCCTTCTTCTCTCTCTCTCTCTCTCTCTCTCTCTCTCTCTCTCTTTCCCCTCTTCTCTCAAAATCCCACAGGTCTCCCAACCCCTAACCTGATCCGGGCTCTCACCTGCCGCCCCGAAGAAGTGCAGCGGGAGAATGATCAGCGGCGCGACCAGGTACAGCTGCGTGTCCACGGCCAGGTACCACGCTTGGCCTATGCACTGGTGATGGGTATTGCACTGTTACTTAAAGAGCACATCGACACACACACTTACACGCTAGCACAGACACACGCACATACAAACACGTACAGTCACAGGAGGTATTTCTCAACTTACGCTTGTCTTCTTATTACAAGAGGAAAAGCTGGATCGATAGCGAGGAAATTATAATGAATGTAGTGTACATGGGCTGACAGCGAGGGACTTGTGCTGAACAGATTGTACATGGAACGACGAAGGGACAGATCAGGAAAGCCAGCGAATATGCCGGAGGCCTTTTCACTTTACCGCTTTACTTTGTCGCCCTGTATGTGTGTGTGTGCGTGTGTGCATGTGCTGTTGTGGTTGTGTGCATGTGTGTGCATGTGTGTGCATGTTGTGTGTTGTCCATTATACATAGTGTCCATATACATAGCTGTACATACATCGTCCCGCGCCTTCCTGGCCCATCCCTTCCCGAGACAGGGCCTCCCTCCCTGCATCTGGCACTCACGTCGCCCGCTGCATCGGGGTGGTTGTCGTCCTCCATGAAAAAGTTGTTGAGGAAGACGAGGTCCTTCCACCAGTTGACGATGCAGCCGTTCTGCCAGTAGGTCCAGCTGTCCGCCAGGGGCCCCGCGAGGAAGAAGCGGGCGACCGTGGCGAAGAGGCCCGTGGCGAGGGCGATCGGGGAGCAGTCTGGGGGGGGGGGTCGCTTTGTTCACCCTTTCGTTACTGGTGTTGTTGCTGTCGTTATCGTTTTTTCAATTATTGTTCTTACCATTATCTTTTTTTTTTCTATTATTGGTCTTACCTTTATCATATCATTTTTTTCTATTATTGTTCTTACCTTTATCATATCATTTTTTCCTATTATTGTTCTTACTATTATCATTTTTATTATTGTTATTGTTATCATCATCATTTTATGTTATTACTATTTTATCATTATTGTTGTTATTATTGTCATTATTAATATTATCACTAATGTTGTTGTTATTGTCATTATTATCATTATCATTATCAATAATAATAATAATATTATTATTATTATTATCATTATTATTCACCATTATCATTATTATTATAATTTACATCTTTATCATTATTATCATTATTATTACTATCATTATTGTAATTGTTGTTATTCATTATTATATATTCATCATTATCATAATTATCAACATTATCATTGATACTAATATCTATCAAAATTATCATTATTAGAATTATTATTACTGTTATTTTTATCATTACTATTATCATTATCATTACTATTATTATCATTATCATTATTACAATTATTGTTATCGCTAATACAGCTACTACTAATAAGAAGAACAAAAACAATAGCAAAAACAGCGCGAAGAAAGAAAAGAGAGAAAAAGAGAAAAAGGAGACAAAGCGATGAATGGAGGAAAGAGACAGAGAAAGAAAAATGACCTGATGAACCGATGGAGATAAAACATAACGACGTTGAACCGGCCCGTCCTCGACAGTTCCCTGAGGAGGACGAAGGAGACGAGGAAACCGCTCAGGAAGAAGAAGGAATCGACGCTGAAGAAGGCGTTGCTGATGATTTGGTACAGGAGGTCGGAGGTTTTCTGCGGAGGAGGAGTGGGAGACGAATTTGTAGAAATGTATATATACATATATATATGTGTGTGTGTGTGTGTGTGTGTGTGTGTGTGTGTGTGTGTGTGTGTGTGTGTGTGTGTGTGTGTGTGTGGTGTACTGCACTTATACATGTACATATTGTAATGTGAAAAAAAGGAAAGGTTTCAGAAATTTAGTTCGGAAGTAGTGAGAACCATGTGTCTCCATCGATGTATATTTACGGATTGCGCTATGGATTTATAGTTGTGCTTAAGTACAAATTTATCAAACCATATGAATTCGTAGCTTTAGGGCCTGCGGGAGAAAATAGATTTTGTCTCTTTATATTTATGTATAGTTATAATGTGCAATTTGGTACATGTATTGCAATATGCTTTATGATTAGATAAGCAGGAATTAATTTGTGAGAGGAAGGGCGTAGGGACGCTCATGGTGCGAGATTATAGATGCTGAATTAGGCAAAAGAATTTTGGTCTTCCAGCCTTTGTTTTACTCATTGAGAATTTACCTTTCTTTATGAGGTATGTAAAGATATTATTGATGTTATGTGTGCGATTTTGTGTCACCGACACATAATTCACTTGAAATAGAACAATGTAAATAGCTTTTGTGATAAATGCTTTGGGAAATGATTTTATGATTATCTTATGAAGTTCTCTGAATCATTTTACTTAATTTAGGTATTGAGAAAAAAACTAAACTGATTGCATATTGATATATTTTGCATAACCTTTTATGACCTCATAATTATGATTCAAGAGGATTCTGTGAATTAAATTATTGCTTGCTGTGGAATATGATTATTGTGGTTACTTTGAAATAATTTAATTTGCATGACCTGCAAGGAAATGAATTCTTTGTAAAGAATTCACGGTAGTTCTGCCTTCCCATTATATTTGTTTATTATGTTTATTAGTCTAGCCATTTACAATTTATGAATTTATTTAAAGGCTTTGAAATGGCATAAAGTCTTAAACTGTGAAGAAAAGGGTATTTGGTTTGCCACGCTATTGGTACTCTTAAGTGATTAAGATCAATGTTACAATCTTTTACAGCCTCCCTGTTGCTTAATATGAACATGTTGAAAGAGTGCAGACCTGGGTCTTCTGTTTATTTAAAGCTAAAAGCTAGTGCGGCCATGTTGTCGGTTCCCTTTTTATCTCTTATGGTTATTGAATTATTTACATTTTGATTTGATATGTTGTTTACATTGTCATATTCATTCTTCTTGATACTGCACCTATGTTTGTATTTGATATTCACTTTGCATTTTTTAAATAATTTCATGAAATTGATTTCCACAGGTCGTATCAATAAAGGATACGACATCGTATAAGCTCTGATTTTCTCCAAACAGCAGCACACACACACACACACACACACACACACACACACACACACACACACACACACACACACACACACACACACACACACACACACACACACACACACACACACACACACACACACACACACACACACTCACTCACTCACTCACTCACTCACTCACACCACACACACACACACACACACACACACACACACACACACACACACACACACACACACACACACACACACACACACACACACACACACACACACACACACACACACACACATACACACACACACACATACACAAATATAAACAAATAGTCCAATAAATCAGAAGAACAAACTTACAGGGAACATCATAAGGAAGTTGGCCGTGAAGCCGGCCCCCGCCTGGTGCTGGTGGCCGTACACGACCCAGATCATGGACAGGACCCTGAGGGAAGGAGCTCAGGGTCACACACATGCAACTATGTGTAATTATCATGTAAATCATGCGTATATGTGTAGTTGAATTTGTATAAATAAGTGAGGAATAGGCACAGAAAGCGAGAGAAGTGAGCATTGTTAATAAGGCCAAATGGAACTTGGAACAACCAAGTTTAAACTATGAGGTATACATTTGTATAAAATGAAAAAAATCCATACATTATATTACATACATTATAGCTACTGAGTATAAATGGAAGAAAGAGACAAAAGAAAGAAAAATGACCGGATGAACCGATGGAGATAAAAATTAATCTTGGTTGTACAGCGTGTGAAGAAACGTACACGCAAACAGGGCTCATGTGGCAATACAGTTCGTATTTCGGCGACATCATTAGCATCATTTATCATCACCATCACCATCGTCATTATTATTAATGATAGCGATAATATTATCATTATCATTATCAATGTCATTATTATTACTATTTCTGTTCTTAAGGATATTATTGTCTTACTATTTTTATTATTGTTATTAATAATACTATCATCATTATCATTATCATCGTCATTAGCATCAGTATCATTATCATTATGACTATTACTATTATTGTTATTAATAATTCTATCATTATTGTTATTATCATCATCATCATCATCAATCATCACTATCAATATCACTATTATTATTATTATTAATATTAATAATATCATCATCATATTTATTATCATCATCATTATTATTATCATCATTATCTTTATTGTTACAATAATTTTAATCATTATTATTAACAATATCATCATTATTGATATTTTTATTATGACTATTGCTACTATCACTAACAATATTTATATTATTATTGTTATGATTATCATCATTAGTATCATCTACATAACTTTTTTTCATTTTCATCATTATCGCTTTGATTATTATTATTGATATTATATCTATTTTTGTTATTATTATCTTCATTATCATTATTACTATTAATATTGTTATAATCATTATTATCATCTTTCTTATTATCATCATTAGTGGAAGAAGGAAGAGAGAGAAGGAGAGCAAGCGGAAGGAGGAAAGAGAAAGGGAGGAGAGAGGGGAGATGAAGGAGAGGGAAAGAGACAGGGAGGTACTGAGGAGAAAAGAAGGAGAGGGAAAGAGAGAAGGAGGTACTGAGGGAGAAAAAGGAAGGAGAGAGAGAGAGAGAGGAAGAGAGACTGTCCGGCTCTTCACCTGATTCCGTGGAGGCAGGTGATGTTCTCCGAGGATTTGTGTGTTCAGCTGGAACAGTTGCTGAGTTGGTGTAGATGGAGAACGGGAGCAGGAAGCCGCCACCGGGGAGATGAAAAATACCTCGTTTGGGATTTATAAGTATGTTACATATGTATGAACACACACACAAACAGATATTCAGATATATATGTGTGTGTGTATGTATATATATATACTGTATAAGTGTGTGTGTGTGTGTATGTCGAGATCGATATTGATTCGAAATTTAAAAGATGCATCGTTTATAACTGTAAAGATGTATAGAACACCAAAACGTCTCTTATCGCATTATCATTTTTTTAAAGGCATATCAACATTGCAAAATTTAGTGTTGGAATTAATTGAGCAAATTATAATGGTGCTTCATGCGTAGTTGATTTGTCTAAAGGTTCGAAACTCCCTGGGGGAAAGTTGCAAAGAGTTTTATCATCACATTCTTTCCCAGGGGAGTCATGACTTTTGCCCCAAGCGCAGCTATGGTAAGTGGTGGTGTCAAAAATCATCTTTTACCCAGATATTGAAGGTTGTAATGTTTGATAGGGGAATTTATATAATTGCGAATCAGTATGTCCTGCTCTGGATGAGGAGAGAGAGAGGTTGGGGAAAATTTGTGCAAAAACAACACTGTGTTTCTCCAGCCTCAGCGTCTAAGATTTTTTTTTTCTTTCTTTCTTTCTTTTTTCATTGATACAGCAACGGAATTTGTTGAAGGTGACAATTCCGATTAAGAAAGGTACCAAATTGCAAAGGTGTCTGCAGAGCAAAGTGTAAGAAAGGAAAATCAAATCGAGAAAGAAGGGAAAGATCGATTATTTAATGTTCAAGTAAATAACGGAAAGGTATTAGGAATGGTAGGTGACTGTCTCGATCCCGTAACACATTTGTTTCTATTGAGGTCATAATAATGATTATTGGTTTATGATTGGGCAAAGGGTTTGTTTGTCAAATTAAAGTTTACCTTAGACATGAATGAGGTTAGTAGCAGAGTATTCCTTGTTTTTCCTAATAACACTTATTGTTAAGATTTGCATTGTGATATAACACTTATTATTATAATTTATTTACAGAATGA